CATATTTTTGTAATATTTACATAATTAAGTAATTTTATTGATTGCAATTTAGGGGACCAGCCTGACAACCCAGGTTGAAAGTCCAGATAATTTAATTTGTTAGCACTTTATTTAATCCTGTAACTTTCCAAGACACCCTAAAACCTGTACATGGGAGGGTGTTAGAGATGATATCGTCAGTGAGAGTGACATTTTTTTATATTTTCACACACAAACACCACTTTCACTGATGATATTGTTGGGATATGTTTTACTGTTTTGATACACTAATATTTGTGCTCAGCAAAGTCTCCTGAGTGTAACAGTACCCCCTATGTACAGGTTTTATAGTGTTTTTGAAAGATACAGGGTCAAATATAAGGCTTGACTAGTAGTTGTCAGGGTCTTACCTGATGTAGAGTCCGGTATGCAGAGATATATGCTCACCCTTGCAAATAAACACAGACCAAGGTGGTCAGGTAAGAATTTACCTGGCCTGTGAGTCTGTGCAGGGATATACTCAAAGTCGCAGTGCAGGCAAGGACAAGCAGAAGAATTGTCATGGAAAGCCAAAGTCAGGGGAAGCCAGAGTTCAGAGAAATCAAGAAACAAGCCAAGGTCGAAAGCCAGAACCAATCTTAAGAACACTGGATCAGGATACAAAAACAGGAACCAAACAGCAGAACCAGAGTCAATGAACTAACACTGCCCTCAGGGAGAAGCAGTGTCTTATACCTGGCTAATAGGTGATAATCTACAGGTGGACCATGATGGACAGCAGCAGTCACAGGTTATGTCCAGCCCTGAGTGCTCGAGACATGGCAAGGATAAGCTTCAAGCTAAAGCAAGACCTGAACACAGGCTTAGAACCACAAAGTACCTGGGTTCAAATCCCCTGTTGGGCACTTCTGGGGTGAGGGTGAAAACCGTGACAGTAGTTCAGCAAACAAAATTAGGTTTTTGAACTTGTTAAATGACACCTACATGCCACAACTTGTACAAGCACCAACTAAAAAGGATTCTTGTCTGGACCTGGTTCTGACAAACAACATTGATCTTTTGACCACTGTTCAAGTAGGTGAGCACTTGGGAAATAGTAGTGTCATTTGAAATAAACTAAAAAAAAAAAAAAAGCACATGGGGTATACTAAAACATATAATTTTAAAAAGGCCAAATCTATTAGTTAAGGGCAGCTTTACAATATATTGACTGGCATAAACTCTTCAGTGAAAAGAACACTGAGGGTAAATGGAACATCTTCCAAAAAATAATAGAAAGGTACATTTCTCAGTATGTACCATTAAGTAATAAATATAAAAGAAACAATTTCAAACAAATGTGTCTTAGTGGGAAAGTAAAATCGAGAAAATAAAACTAAGAAAAGGGCATTCAAAGCCTTTAAATTTGACAAATCATAGGCATCCTATAAAAAGGAAGCCAATAATGCATGCAAAAAGGCGATTAGATTCGCTAAACTTGAAAATATAAAAATGATAGCCAAAGTGAGCAAAACCAACGCCAAATAATTTCTAAATTCTAAAAAAAAACAAAAAAATGAAAGTGTAGGTACACTAAAACTGAGATGAGAGTGTTAGTTAATAAAGACCAGGAAAAGGCAAAAATGTTTTTAAAAAAAGCTATTTCTCCTCCATATATATTAAGGAAGAACTCATGGCAATAGATGTGCAAATGATTTTTGCTAAAAACTTGCAGAAAAATTGTAATTGGCTAACTCAAGACAAGGTGCTGCAGCAACTAAAGAAAGTTAATATAAACAAAGCTAAAGGGCCTGACAGTATTCATCCACAAGTACTTAAGAAACTAAGTGTAGAAATAAGTGCTCTGTTTTTAATCTTTCAAAATTGTTTTATTTCAGGAAGTGTTTCAGAGGATTGGAGAAGGCAGATATATTATAGGATGCAACTGATTTGTCAAATTTAAAGGCTTTGAATGCCCTTTTCTTATTTTTATTTTCTCGATTCACTTTCCCACTAAGACACATTTGTTTGAAATTGTTACTTTTATATTTATTACTTAATGGTACATACTGAGAAATGTACCTTTCTAATATTTTTAGTATGCAACCCCTGTAAGAACGATGTAATGCAAATGAAATGCCCAAATGAGGTTTCGAATTAGGACATGGCATGTGGACATCTGTGGGGCATTTGACCGCACATTGTAAAGGCCTAGTGAAGGCCATGAGTAGGAAATTGCGTATAATACCAGAAGGTATCCCAATTTGTGTCCTGAGTTACAGGATGATTGTGCAGTTGTGTTGGGATTAATGCAGGTGAAGGTAGGATGTGAATTAAAGAACTGTTGTGGAGAAGTTGTATGAATCCAAGACAAGTTGGTGATGAGATGTTAGAGAACCTGATAGAGTTACTAATAATCATCTAGTCTATGAAATGGTGAAACAGAGTAGAACTTGTATGTAAACACTTATAAAGCATCATATAATACATACCAACACAGCCAAATAAAACAGGGTGTTGGCAGACAGAATTAAACAGGAACAGAGGCATAGGCGTGCGCACGGGGTGTGCCGGGTGTGCTGGGCACACCCTAATCCCCGCGGCATGCATTATGTGCCTCCCTCCATGGCCCGGTGAGGGAGATCAAAGATCCAGCAGCTCCGCCGGGTTCCTTTCGCGCGGTCGGAGCGGTGCAGCGATTACCGCGGCAACGCTCAGATCTCGCGAGAGTGAACTCTAGCCCCACAGCGGGCTAGAGTTCACTCTCCACTGGAACACCAGGGAAGGCAGGAGCATGTTCTCCCCTCCCTACATAAGGTAAGAAGGGAGGGGGGATTTTAACTAAACGGCTCCCACACCCCCACACATTACACACAAACATACAGCCCACACACATACATCACCCTTACACACACAGCACACACACGATGTGACGAGACTAATCTCGCCACATTGCATTGGAGAAGCCGGGTTGCTCGCCTGTTGCCTTGGGATTATGGCCCCATGTTAAAAGGCTTGATATTCCCCTGCAAAGACAAGAAAGCCGGGTCATTTGGTGTTTGCCCTGTTTGAGCAGTGATACCCCAGATAGCTATGCCATGGAGCCCATTCGTATAATGAAAGACTATGGGAAAGACTTTGGCTCCATGGCAATTGAACTGTATGTGTGTGCTCTGAGCGCCATTCAGTAATAATGTGCGCTTAGACCTAAGCTATCTGGGTATATGTTGCATGTCTGTATTTTATGTCATAAATGTAACCTTGTGTATTGTATTGTATTTTACTGTCTTTTTGCTGCCATGTGTTCAATGGAGTTTTGCCTCTGTCTTTGGAGATAATTGGATTACTTCTAATTATCTCCAGGATAGAAGACTCTGTGGAACTGGTTTTGGGCAGAAAAGCCATGCTTCCTGTGGTCACAAAGGACTACAATCTATCTTTTGAACCACTGGACCAATTTGTATGATTTTGACGTATGTTTGTATTTGGAGTATGCTGATTCTGAAAATGTAATTTATGTGAATGTGATGCATACTTTTCAAGTTATGAATAATGTGGAAAAATTGTATTTCTCTGCTTGTGCTAAATTACATTACCCATTGTGTAAGGTAATTGAATCACATGCAGAGGGGAGGAATTTGAGTGTCTGAGTGTATTGTATGTGTTTATTTGTTGTGTTCCAAAACCCTGTGGGTGGTACTAATGTGTAAGAATGCGTACATAAGCACAATAAACCCACAGCTCTGTCTGTTCACTGCTTGACCCTCAACACTGAGCTCTGTCTCGTTCTTGGGGGGATTTATTGTATGCTGTTCCAGTTCGACTGCTAGGAGTGTAAACCTATTCGTGTGTTTTTTCCTATTCGGCTGTTTACAGCATTCATATGGTTTCCTGTTCGGTGGATTGGTGTTCTGCAGTAGCTGTGCCTGCATCTCTGGAAAGGGGGACGATCGCCTAAACGGTTTTAACCCCTTGTGTGCTGAAACGGTCCGTTACACACACTAACAGCACCCTCACACTAACTACACACACAGCACCCTCACACATACACACACACAGAACACAATAACAGTGTTTTGGATCAAAGAAAACTTTGATAATTTGTCTATCTACACCTTCCAAATTGATTGATTAATGCGTGCACGCTTTCCCTAGAAGTAATTCACACTGGAGACAAAGTTTCTGATCAGTGAAAAACCAAGGAATGCTTTATTCCCCGGAGTGGGGGCTCCTTCTTAAAGCAAAAATACGTCACAGTTTAAACATGCAGTATACATTCAACAATTGGTTAACAGTCTAAGGGATCTTGTCTAAACCCCCCCTACAGGATGTAGTGTCATCATTACAGACTTCTCCCGCCTATATTCCAGCTCCTGGATACACAATGGGAGGGGGAGTGAGTAGTTTCTTTCAGTTACTTTAACAGTGATTCTCCATTTTGTTACACGTGGCATATAGCTGTTAAAGGACCACTATAGTGCCAGGAAAACATTCTCGTTTTCCTGTCACTATAGTGCCCTGAGGGTGCCCCCACCCTCAGGGACCCCCTCCCGCCCGGCTCTGGAAAGGGGAAAAGGGGTTAAACTTACCTTTAGACAGCCACTAGAGGATTAGGGGGAAGGCTTAACCCATTCATAAACATAGCAGTTTCTTTGAAACTGCTATGTTTATTTAAAAAATGGGTTAACCCTACAAGGACCTGGCACCCAGACCACTTCATTAAGCTGAAGTGGTCTGGGTGCCTAGAGTGGTCCTTTAACCTGCACAAAGGAAGTGGGGGAGGAGTTAGTAAAGGAAGCTGTTAACACAGGAATTTTGGTTACACGAGGCTTGCTCTGATGGGAAGGGGGATGCTAGCAGGATGAGGAATTTACAGAGGAAATAGCAACTGAACACATTGTAGGGGGGGAAGGGAATATTTACTCTAGCAGCCAGATTTAACATAGGGAACACAGAATAAATAGACATTATTAAATAGCCATTTTATTTTAATTCATCTGTCCATAACAGTCCCCCCTTAAAATGGCAATTTTACTAGAAACTACTATCTCTCACTCTAATACTGTCCCTATAGAAAAATAACAAAAGGCTATCTTGCACATCTGTCTGAACAGGCCTTGAACACTTCACTGCGCGGGTAACATGTAGCAGCTTGTCCACTACTTCTCCCGCGACAGACTTCTGCCCGTAGAGACAGACGCTATCCCTGAATGTCCTTAAGAGGAAGTAGCTGTTGATTTAGTGCGGTGGGACTGTAAGGGTGTATGTGGTGTATCACGGTCTATGTCGTCAATCTCTTGGTGAAGGAAGGTCGGGGTGGTCTGGTCGATTGTCTGATCAACTATCTTTTGTAGACATTTCTTAAGACAAGGTAACACACAACAAACAAGGAGAGCGAGGATGATTATCGTTATTAAAATGGCAATGCCTATCTGGACCAGAGCACCTTGCCATCCAGACATCCATTCAAACCATCTTTCCCATGGATCTGTGGCCCTAGAATTCCTTTTCAGTTCATTGGACAAACTTTTTAACTTTTCTATTGCCAACGTTACCTTACCATTAGGGCCTGTATTATCTGGAATATAGGTACAGCATGTCATGGTGTCTGGGAGTATTTTATATACTCCCCCTTTCTCCGCCAGGATCATGTCTAAGGCCATTCTATTCTGGAAGGTCATCTGGGAAGTAGCTTGTAATTGTTCCGCCAAACCTTGGAGGGCATCTCTTGTATAATTTACAAAACGTTGTTGGTTATAATAGATGTAATTGATCCAATTTAAATTTTTATTGGCCGTGATGATTGGGAAAACAGATTCAAACCCTGCGGACACTTCATCTCTTGCTTTAAACTCATTCGGCACCCCCCTTGGCACTCCTATGGCATCTATATAAATATGGGGATCAAAACTGCCTTTTACAGGAGTATCTCTCTTTATTCTAGAGTATTGGTGTGACGTACCTGGGGTATCTTGGTGTCCGTCAGAGATTATGTGTATAGGCATAATTACCTTAGCTAGGGCACATTCTCCACACCATACGCCTTCCAATCTGGTTCTAATCTGCATATCCCCACAAATCCAATATATGTCTCCAAGGGATCTTATTAGTTGCTGGATTAGGGCGGGTGGAATTGGGCTATATGTGGCACAGTACTTACCAGTGAAATTACCAAAGAATTGGCCTACCCCATCATATATACCATAACAAGTGTAGTTACCTGGGTATCTGGTGATACCTTTATCTGGCTTAACATCTTTAAGGATAATTGGGCATTCCTTTGTCCATGATTCACATTCCGTCCGGTCAATTTTAAGTATAGTATAGAGACTTAGGAAACACATCTCTATCTCTGGAGGTATGTTCAAAGGGACAGTACCTAAGTGAGGCCTCGCTCCTCCACAGACATAGCAGTTAGATCTGTTGTGTTTGTTAGCGTTATATTTCATTCACTCAAGCCATAAGTTAGTGTCAGAGAAACCCGTCTCTACAGCCATAGTGTCCTTATACGTGGGGTTAGCTATAGCTATCATCTCTTTTAGAGTTTTGATATGTGGCTTAAGAGGATTAATAGTCATGTGCGTGGCACCTACCCATTCAGGTGAGTCATACATGTCCCGTAAGTAAAAGGTCCCCTGTTTATTGTATGAACCTCCTCCCTCCCAGTACATTCCCATTACATATTGCCCAGCATCTCCAGGACTGGGATGTTCTATGTTTAAAGCTAGTTTCATAGGTGTCGCCCCCCCCCCCTGGTTTCCTGAACGTCATTCTTTTCAGTAAGGACTCCCCATTTTTATCTAATCTGTCTAAGGCACTTTGTGGTCTATAGCCCCAGGCTGGCCCTGTATTCCAACCTGCTGCTTTCCATGAACTACACTCATATCCCCAGTAGTCATTAGTCATACATATGTATGGGTCCTTAATGTCAGGTATATCTTTGTACACTGTTGACAACAATGCTGGTGGAAATGTACAATTTACGATATCACAATAATCAAATGCAAATGTGGCCACCCGTGTACTAGAGGAATTGTACCAAAATGTATAAACATGATTGTCTTTGGTTACAGCGACTTGTTGGGCCTTTATCAGACCTAGCAGCAAGAACAAATACACAAAATTCATGCTATAACAGGATCTGCTTCCTCTGGAGCTGGGACTTTCTTGCAATGTGAAGCGTGTATCCAAGAGTTCTTTCCGGCCAATTTAACTGAGGTAGTTATGGTTAGAAGGACTTGGAACGGACCATCATATCTGGGTTCAAGGGTATGTTTTCTCAGGAACTTCTTAACCAGAACCCAATCACCAGGGAGCAACTTGTGTGTGCCTGTATCAGACTCTGGATCTGGAATGGAAGAAAACACTTGGGCATGTATCTTGTTTAAAACTTGGGAAAGAGCAGTCACATAATTAACCACAGTATCTGATTGCAGTTGGAGTTGTTGAGGAAAGTAACAACCTAACCTAGGGGCTGAACCAAACAAAATCTCATAGGGAGACAGGTTAAACTTCCCTCTTGGTGTGTACCTAACACTAAACAGAGCTATGGGGAGACTCTCTGGCCAGGGCAGGTTAGTTTCTTGGGCCATCTTAAGCATTCTGGCTTTTAAGGTGCCATTCATGTGTTCTACCTTACCACTACTTTGTGGGTGATACTGTGTGTGGAATGCAGGAGTCACCCCCAGTGCTGCCCAGTCTTCCTTAGTCACTAGTGCTGTAAAAGCCGGGCCCTGGTCACTTTCAATCACTTCAGGAACTCCATATCTACAGACAATTTCAGTGAGCAACCGCTTGGCAGTGGTATTGGCGGTCATATTAGTAACCGGGAAAGCTTCTGGCCATCCTGAGAACATGTCCACCATAACTAGGGCATATTCATACCGGCCACTTTTTGGCATCTGAATGTGGTCAATTTGGACTCTCTGGAATGGGTAGGGCAGAGTGATGTAATACCCCGCACTCTGTCTCTAGTAAGGTGCCGGGTACCATGAGAAAGACAATGCCCCAAAAAGATCACCGAGGGTCGGCACCACTGCAACTTCTTCTTAGATGCTTTACAACCTTGGGCGGCCAGGAAACAGAGGAAATCTTCAGAGGCACATTCTGCAGTCGGGAGATCATCAGCACAGAGAAGGAGATCGTCCACGTATTGCAGGAGGACCACGTCTGTGTGAGATTTCTGCCATGGTTCCAGGATGTAGGCCATGGCTCTTGCAAACTGGCTTGGGGAATTTTGTGCCCCCTGGGGCATGACAGTCCAGGTATATTGTTGGCGGTCATGGGTAAATGCAAACAGGTATTGACAAGAGTTATGTAAAGGCACGCTGAAGAAGGCATTTGCCAAATCCACCACTGTGAAGAATTTAGCTGATGGAGGGACCTGGGATAGAAGAGTATGAGGATTTGGAACAATGGGAGTTTCCAAGACGGTAACATCATTGACTGCTCTGAGGTCTTGAACCATCCTGTACTTGTCCGGTTCACCCTTTTCGGTCTTTTTCTTAACTGGAAACAAAGGAGTGTTACAAGGCGACACACATTTAATCAGAGCGCCCACAGCCAGCAGAGTTTCAACCTGTTTGGAGATAGAGAGGGCCTGAGAAGGTGTCAATGGATATTGTGGACTTCTGGGCAGACTTGCTCCTTGGAGCAACTGCACAAATATCGGAGGGACTTTAAGTTGTCCAATATCATCGGGACCAGTAGACCACAGTTGCACAGGAACTCTGTCAAGCGCACTGGGGGAATTGTCTGGGACCCTTGCATTCCCATGGGGTGACTCCATGTGGAGTAGGAGGGGTAAAGAACAAAGGGCTGAGGTATCTTCACTGGAGAGAGGGGTCAATAACTGAACCTTGCCATCTGGAGTAAAGTAGATGGAGGCCTGCAAGCGGGACAGGACTTCAGCTCCCAACAAATTAAGAGGACAAGAGGAAGACACTACAAAACGAGTAAGGAGATCTGGGAAAGTACCCACCCGTAAGGGCTTAGTTAATGGGTTGCTACGAGGTGTACCATCTACACCTATACAGGAAACATCTATATTAGAGAGAAAGGAATCGTCAGGCAGGTCACATGCTCTAAGTACGCTACGGGCTGCGCCTGTGTCAACTAAGAAGGTGGTTGGGCAGCCTTCCACAGGGCATATCTTGAATCGGTGTAAATATTAACACGTTTCCCTACAAACATTTGGCATGCTACAGTGAGGGATTTTAGTTCAGCTTCTTGAGCAGACATAGACGGGGGAAGTGGGGATGCTTGAAGTACCTGATCTACTGTGGTCACTGCAAATCCAGTGTGGTATCTTCCTTGTTCATCTGCAAATCTGGAGCCATCCACAAACAGTGTGCAGTCAGGATCTGGCAAAGCCGTTTCATGTACTGTAGGAAGATGGGCTGTTTCCATCTTCATCTGTTCAAAACAGTCACGAGCCATGTCAGGAAGAACTGAAATCGGTCCAGCAGTAGTACTGGCCGCAGGGTGAGTAACTGTAGTAGTAATGTGGGCTGAATCAAGTTGTGAGGCAGGGGAAGAAGTGACTGATGTAGCAGTGGAGGTAGCAGGATAATAGCCTGATGCTGCAGGGGTGGCAGCAGGAGGATAGCCTGATGCTGCAGGGGTGGCAGCAGGAGGAGGATAGCCTGATGCTGCAGGAACAGTGGATCCAATAGTCATAACAGGGAAAGATACACTGGGGGCAGCCATGAGAGGGGCGGGAATGGAAGAGGATACAGAAGGGAGGGAGGAAGCGACCACAGGGGCGTTGGTAGGGGAAGTTACCATCATGGAAGGGATGGGTGTGTTAGAAACAGGAAATGGTGACAGTGAAAGGGCAGAAGAGAAGGAATCCAAAGGAGAAGTAAGGGTGGAAGTTATAGGGAGTAGTGAAAGGAATTGGGCGTGGACAGAAGCAACAGGAGTCGGAAGAGAGGGTGTAGCAGCAGAGATGGGCAAGAGAGGAGGAGGCAAAGAAACAGGAAGGGAATGTGTGACTGGGATTTGGAGTGGAGAAGGAGAGGGGGCTGGAAAATAACATGAACCGTCTGCCTTAAGGCAGCAGGGGCTGTGTGGGGGCTCCAGAGGCTGATTGAGCCACCTCCCTTTCTGGCCAGGCCTTATCATATGGAGGAGGGCTGGAAACGCCTGCAACAGATTCAACAAAACAATCTTTTTCATGATACACAAAGACTTTCTTCCCCTCATGGTCTATCTCCTCCTCAATCCACCCCTCCTTCTTAATCCATCGAGCCACCCGA